GACTACTTAAATAGGCAATCAAAAGTTGTACATGTGACTAGTTGTACTCTCGTGATACTGATGTAATATGTAAAGCCAGTGCTAAAATTAACATTAGCCTACCGCTTGTACTAATAAAGTGCCAAGGGCCTAAGTGGTCACCTTAATATTAAAAAAAAAATAATAATAATTATAAATATCATTAAGATAGTTTGATAAATCAATTGGATTAATAAAAGGGTTTTTGTAATCAACATAATTATAAAAATTAATAAATCTAGAATTTTCTTCATTTTCGTTAATAAATTCATTTTCTATTTATTTTTATATTTTTCATCTTTTTTATTTTCAGTATATTCTTTGTTTCAGAATATTCTTCATCAGTATCTTCATTTTCAGAATTGTTGTTCTCATTTTCAGTACTTTTGACTGAATATTCTAAAGTTTCATTAGTAAAATCATTAATGAAACTAATTTTTTCAGTTTCAGTTTTGATTGGATTATTTTGAATAGATTCTTTGAATCGTTGCTCTTCTTCTTTAAGAATGTCTCGTCCATGATTTTCAATAATTATGTCTTCACACCAATAAGTCCATGAAGAGATTTCATTCTTTTTATTTTTTTCTTTTTTCAATTCTTCTTTTAACGTTTTAATTTTTTGTTCAAGACATTCAATTTTTTCATTTAATTCTTTTCTTTTAGATTTATTTCCTGGGTATTTTTCATGACCAGAAAGTGTTTTTAAAGTATATTTTTTTTTATAAGGTATTTTGTTAAGTTAAATTTCGATTGAAGGTTTTAGCATTTATATTTATTTAGTTTTGTTAGAAGTTTCTAAAATTCGATTTTAGTTAAATTCTTAATTTATCTATTTTTGTAATATAAATTTAGGTTTTTCTGTTATCTATTTCTTCTAAATTTGATTTATACTTATTTAGTAATTATTTTTTTCATTGGTTCTTATATTTATATTGGATATAAAAACAGTGTCTATAATTTTTTAGTGTATATTTAAATAATAAATATCAATTTATTCACATTATTTATTGAATAACGAAATGTAAATATTATATTTTATTTTTGATTGGACGAATCTTAAAGTATTCAGTTTTTTGCAAAACATATTTAGATATTTGCAAAAAGTATTCAACTTTATTAAATAATGATTGGACGAATCTCAAAGTATTTAGTTTTTGCAAAACGTATTCAGATATTTGCAAAAAGTATTCAACTTTATTAAACAATGATTGGACGAATCTCAAAGTATTTAGTTTTTAGCAAAACATATTCAGATATTTGCAAAAAGTATTCAACTTTATTAAATGATGATTGGACGAATCTCAAAGTATTTAGTTTTTTGCAAAATATATTCAGATATTTGCAAAAAGTATTCAACTTTATTAAATGATAATTGGACAAATCTTAAAGTATTTAGTTTTTTGCAAAATGTATTCAGATATTTGCAAAAAGTATTCAACTTTATTAAATGATAATTGGACAAATCTCAAAGTATTCAGTTTTTGCAAAACATATTCAGATATTTGCAAAAAGTATTCAACTTTATTAAATGATGATTGGACGAATCTCAAAGTATTTAGTTTTTTGCAAAATGTATTCAGATATTTGCAAAAAGTATTCAACTTTATTAAACAATGATTGGACGAATCTCAAAGTATTCAGTTTTTTGCAAAACATATTCAGATATTTGCAAAAAGTATTCAACTTTATTAAACGAATCTCAAACAATTTGGTAAATTTTAAACGGAAATATAATATATAAAATTTTATTAGAAAAATAAAAGAATTAATTAAAATTTAAAGTACATTTTCCTACAATATGAAAACTAATTTCATCTTGGATATTAAAATTAATAATACTATCTTTAGCATCTAATTTAATAGTATTAATTTTTTGTTTTTTAATAATTTTTTCTTCTTTATTTTGAACAACTGGTAAAGTTTTTCTGCTAATAATATCTTCTTCAATCTTTTCTTCAGTTATATAATCATCTTCAATAAAATTTTCAATTTGAGCTAGTATTGGTGTTGTTTGAATAATTGAAGTTTCATTATTTTGTCTTGTTAAATTATTAGAATTTTCTTTACGTTGAATTTGATTAATTTCTTTAATCTGTTTCTTTCGTTTTTCATTTTTAGAGATAGCTAAATTATATTCTTTTTTGTAATATTTAGCAAAATATTTTTTAATATTTGACAAATTCGTATCAAAAGGATAATTTGCTTTGCAAATATTACAAATAAGTCTTGTTTTAAGAGTATTTTTATGAAAGTAGTTGCGAATTTCATGAGTGTTTCTCAATTTTTTTTCTTTATTTGTTCTTTAAGATAAATAAATTTTTGTTTAATTATTTATAATTAATTTAATGATCACAAGATTTTTATTTATGCCTAATTCATATTTTACGAATTATGCAGTTCATTTAATTAATCTAAATTTTTCAAATTTGTATTTATGAATTTGGTAATTCATTAAATTGTAAATAATTCTTAATTTAAGTTTATCCATTAGGATTTATTTATTGAGTTTTTCTATTAAGGAATTTTATTAATAAATATTGTATGTAATCACATATTTTAATAATTAAAAAATAAGTAAAATAACAAAAGTTATACGAAAAAAAAATACGATTGTTTGCAATTATTGCAGGCTTAAAAAAATCAAATATGATACAAAAGATATATGTGTTAATTGTTCTAAACATAATAAAATTTGTGAACGGAAAGAAAGAAAAAAGTGTGGACCACCTTCTGGATTTAAAGAAAGATTTAAAGAAAAAAAAAGAAATTTAAATTTTATGAAAATTGATTCGATTTTAAATTAAATTTTATTTAATATAATTTGGATTTGGGTTATTATAAACAACTTCATAAAATTTACAAGAATTACAGGAATAATAATAATAAATAATTAGTTTTTCTTTTTGTTTTCCAGATTTTTTTAAATTCATTCTTCCCATATTAAATAAACAATTATATTTTTTACTATACTTATTTAAATAACCAAAGTTTTGAAAAATTAAGCAACTGGAAGAAATAAAAAAATCTGTACCAAGTGTAGCAATATGAAATTTATCACGTATTATGATATTTGTAATTAAAATTTCCCAAAAATTCATTTCTTCATTTGTATTTTTTTTTCTCCTATAAATTTAATAAATTCACCATTTATTGTATAAAATAAAGTTTCTTTTTTAATAAGTTGTTTGAGATAATAAAAGAAAATATCACCAATATTTTTATAAATTTGTGTTAACTCAAAATGTTTTTTAAATAAATAAAGAAGATTTTTTTCAAATCGTATTTTAAAATATTTTTGTATGAGATGTGATTTGTCACATTTTTGTTTTGGATAATTTTTAGATATTATATTATATCCATGTGGATTAATTATTTTTTTAAAAATAATTATTGTGTAAAATTCAATTATCATATTAAGAAGTTCTATTAGAACTGGGAGATGTTTAACTTTTTGTTTTTTTTCTGCTAAAAATGTAATTTGTTCGTTGGCTTTTTGTTTCATCTTTGTATAAATTCTATAATAGAATATTGAATATATTTATATATTTATTTAAAGTATAAAATATTTAATTGTAAATTACTTCCAAATTCGTAAATACGAATTTGTTTTATTCTTGTAAATTCGAATTGTAATTCATACCCAAATTCGTAAAATATGAATTAGATATAGATTGAAATCTCATTGTAACAATGAATTGTCTGATTCGTAAAATACGAATCTGGTAAATTTGTAATTCAATTCCAAATTCATAAAATACGAATTTAGACTAGACCAGAATCTCATTGTGACAATGAACTGTCTGATTCGTAAAATACGAATCTGGCAAATTTGTAATTTACATCCAAATTTGTAAATTACGAATATGGTAATATTTAATTTCTTAACTTCTTAATTTGAATTTGATAAGTGAAAATAATTTATCTCGTGGAAAACAACTTAGTTTTTTCATATTGTTATTTAATTTTCATCTATAAAAAGACTGCTTTTCAGTTCATGAAACAGTATTGAATCTTAGGATTTGATAACAAATACAAAAGTTCTTCAAACTGTATTCAAAAATAATTATTTAATTATTTTAAATTAAATATTATTTCAAATGTCTATTATGAGAGATATACAAACTAATTTTTTGAAATATTCTTCATTACGCTGGAAGATATTTCATAAATCGTTTGTGACTCATAATAGCATTTCATGGAGAAATATTGATTTTTCACGATCTTATATTGTTAAATATAAACAACGTGATGCAAAAAAAAATTTGATATGTTGCAACATTCTAAACGTATACCTTTTAAAGATTTTTTTGTTTGTAAATGTGGAACAGATAAAACTGATTTTTAAAAAGAAGCATATTAACGAAAATTTTTTCCTTATCTTTGGTATTATGATACACGTCATCAATGAGCTTTATGTCTTTTTCGACAGCATTGTAAATATTTTAAGCTTCTTCAATCTGTTGATAAATCTCTTCCAAAGAATGAATGGTTATTGAATATGAATAAAAAAGGATCTTTAATGAAAATCAAGAAAAAATTTCATACTTTAAAGTTGAAATATGAGATTTATCTTTGGGTAAAAAATCTTAATGATACTTCTTCAACAATCTATAAACAAGAAAGTGAATTACTTCAAAATTTTAAACAAACAATATTAAAACATTAAAAAACAAAAAAGAAATTAAAAAAAAACAAATTGGTTAAACAAGAGATTGAATCAAGATTAGTTAGTCTTATTAAAAATTCAGAATCATCTCCTAAATATTATCCACAATCACCAAATTTCTGTTCAGTATAAATATACTAAACAGAAAATTTTATACCCAAAAAATGGATCCTCGATTTGAATTTCATTTTAGTCAATTATTTCAAGCATTTATTAGGTTTTTTGTTTCTATTAATCAAATTTATTTTCAAACAAATTTAATTCAACAACAAACATCACCAAATTTAATTGATATTGAATCACTTAAAGACTTGATTTATACACCAAAATTTAAAGGATTTAAATATATTAATGATTATCTTTCAAAAAATCGATATATAAATAAACATGAATTTTTTTTGAAATCTAATGAAATCAGACAAATTAATATGACCCACAAATACACCTATGGGTTAAATAGTGGCTATTGTTTTAATACACATTTACATGAATGTTGTGCTGCATATAAAAAAATATTTACAGAATGTATATCTGTGGTTATACATATCTGTCAGGTCAACAAGATAAAAACAAGTCATATATACAGTTTAAAAAATGTAAATATTTTTTATCTAATATTAAAAATATTGTTCATAATTGTATGGGTATAATGGAGGATAAACATTTAACAATATTTATTAACGAACAACAAACAAAAAAAGTAGATTTTTTTGATTCTTGTTGAATATTTTATTTTATTTTATATATTTATTCATTTTTTTAATTTTAATAATAAATAAATTATTTCTGATTAGTATTTAATACCAATCAGAATTTTAGTTACGTAAATGTCATTCTTCAGTATTCGTCAATATCATAAAGATTATATTTTTGTATTTTCAAAATATAATCTAAATGCAGTACAATTATTTAAAAAAATATATTTTTTTTTGTTAAAAGAATATGAATTATTCAAGAAACTATCAGAAATAAATTCTTTAAAACACGTAAAAGATTTATTCATTTTAGCAAAACATTTAAATAATAAATATGTTTTACTATCTATTAAAGAAGAATGTGAATGAATTTATTTTTTTTCTTTTAGGCTATTTTTTTATTTTAATTGTCTATTTTTTATTTTTAATTGTTTATATTTTTGTATTTTTTATTTATTTATTAATTATTTATTTTTTTATTTATTTATATTTTCATATTTTTCAAGTATTTTTTTGGTTATTTTTTATTTCTTTTTGCTTCTAATAAGTCTTTTGACCGATTAGATTTTTTATAGTTCAACAATAAAAAAAATTAATATTGCGATTGATGAACTAACGGCTGTAGGAAAAACAACTGTTGGATCTGCTTTAGCAAACAGTTTAAAGTATTGATTTATTGATTCTGGAATATTTTATCGATATTTAGGATATTTATCTTATCATTATTCAGACACAGAAAATAATTTAAAGACAATTGAAATATTTAAAAAGAATGTAACAGAAAATGATAAGCTATTCGAATCAATAACTGAAATAATCAATTCACTTGGTAATAAAGATTATTATTTGAGTGGGGAGGAAGGTGCAAAAATATCAAAAAATCAAGAAGCACATGAAATTATTAATCAATATATACGTCAAATTACAAAAGAAAAAGAATTTGTGGTTGTTGGAAAGAATGCGACTTTTAACATTTTACCTGATACTGAGATTAAAATTGTGTTATCTGCCAATATTGATATTAGGGTTCAACATTGTTCACTTCAAATTAATTTAACAGATATTAAGAATATTTTCACAGATATTCTTTATCGTGATTATTTTTCTTTTAAACAACTTGAGCAAGCAAAAAAGGTCTCTACAATAATTAATACAACAAATAATAATTATTCCGAAGTCACTAATAAGATTTTTTCTATTATTCGTAAGAAATCATTAACAACAAATGCTAAATTTATTTTAAAATATTCTTTGATTTTCTTGGTATTTTTCTTATCATATTTATTAAATAAACAACAATAATCTAAGCAGTATTTATGTATAGTGCCGGAAGCTTTAAATCTCCATAAAAAATAGCTTTACAAAAAATACTACTTCTCTTTTAAAAATTTATAAAATGTAAAACTAATCCACAAGATCAGTTCTTCTTACCTTTAAGAACAAAACTTGTGGGTTTAAACCCAAACTGATAGAGCAGTAGCCTTTTAAACTTTGCCTATTTTATTAGAAATTTGTAAAAAGTAAACGTATATGTTTTCTCTTTTTGATCAATCAAATTACTCATACAGACCACATGTTATACTAAATTTTATTAGTACCGGAGCTAACTGGACAAAAAATTTATTTATTTTTAGAACATGCTCGTATTTTAGGTTAAATGACTATCTACTTCCGGCTTATTCCATTAAAGTTACTATGAATAAAAAAGTGAACAAAATCACGTGATTGGAGAGTTAAAGCTTCTGGCACCATACCAATTAGAATTTTATTTATATAATTACAAATATTTTATTCAATTTCTAATGTCGAAAAAACAAAATAATAAACGAAATATTTCTGAAGTTGATGAAAATGTTGAAGAGGTTGTGAAACAAGAATTAAAAAAGAAAAAAGAAAATAATGATGAACAGCCTATTATTAAAAAAAAAAAAAAAAAAAAAGATTTATGATAAAGATTGGGATGATATTATTTAATTAAAGAATTGGGAATTAAATAATGCCATTAATAATAATGCTTTTGCTGAAGCATTTTCTAATCTTGGTGAACGTATAAATTTTATAGAAAATTTATACTCTTATTATGAAGCAAGAAAAGCTATATTTATGTTGGTTGATAGAAAATTTCTAAAAGATAAAGATTATGAAAATTTTAAAGAAATTCGTGAATGGAGAGATAATACTTTAGGTAGACCAAAGAAAGGAGTAGAGTATGATATTAGTAGACTAGAAAAACTATTAAAGGAATTAAAAAAGGATTGATTTTTTTGTTTATTATTATTTTTTGTTTATTTTTATTTGTTGTTATTTTATTTGTTATTTTTATTTGTTAGTTCTTTATTATTATTATATTTAACTATTTAGTCTTTTTAACCAAATAGAATTTTATATACATAATTCAAAATGAAACTTCAAAATAATCTAAAACAATTTAAAAAGTTAAATTGCTATACAGAATTGTATAATAAAGATTAATCAATTCTTATACGACGTAGCTTGCGAATAAGACGACAAAAAAATAAACCAATATATAATTTTAAAAGGAAATATATATCATAAATATTATTATGATTTAAAACAAACAAAGAACACTTCTTCATTTTCGATTATATTAAATGATATTAACGATGAATTGTTACAAGAGAATATGGAGCGAAATTATTATGATGCTAGTGTTGAAGAAAAAAAATCACCATTTCACGAATATTGTGAAAATTGTCATTCACCAAAACCAAATGATTTTTGTACTTTTTGCAAGAAGGAGGAAATATTATTATGTTTAAGTGAGCAATCTCAAAGACAAATGCAATTTTGTAAGAAATATAATTCGTTATCTTCAAGTAATTACTGTATCTCTTGCAATAATAAATTATATAAAGAAAAGGATTTTGATAAATTAGAGGAATCAAGTCAATCTTCTATTATAATAATAAATGATGAATCTATTGTTATGCAAGAACAAGCAACTTCTTTACAAAATAGAGGAATATTTGATTCTGTAATTCAAAAATATTCTTATACTCCATTACAAGTTGGTTATGTAAATAATAATGAAATTTTTTGGTCAGATAATGAATTATCAATAGATGATAGCAGTAATTCAGATTGTTCAGTTATTTAGTCAATATTTTTTATTATTATTTTCATTCTTGTTATTTTTTTGTTATTTATTTTATTTTTTTATTACTCTACTTTGTATATATTATACCGAGTAGATTTTTATTTATATAATTTTCTTTAAAATATCTAAAGCTAAAGTTAAATATAATTTCGCTGTCTCCAATTATAGTTATGCTTGTACTATAGAGAAGAAGTTACTTAATACACTTTCTTGTTTGAATATAATTTAAAAACTTAGAATTTTGGTAGATGAAACAATAAATTCTATTAAAAAACAACTTAAAGTTCAAGCAAATTTTTAAAAAAAATATAAAGAAATAACTAATAAGTATGAAATTGAAAGACGTAATTTTTCTATAGTTATACTGTTAACAAATGAAAAGAAAACTTGGATTAGTAAAAAAAATAATCCATCAAAAGATTATTTTGGATATTGGCAAGTACTAACCAGAAAAAATGAACCTGGTGAAAATTTTGGAGAAAGTGCAAAACGTGAAACCAAGGAAGAAGCTAAATTGAAAATAGAAAATTTGGTTTTTATTGCTATGCATCAAGGGTTTAGAGTTTTTCCAGATAGACAAGAATGTTTGTTTAGGTGTGCTATATATTATTCGTTAATTGGGGATCAAATTCCTGTTAGAACAAAACCTGATAAAAATGATAAATGAATTCAAATTGATTTCAAAGAGCTTAGTAAATATCAAATGACAGATTTGATTTTATTATTTCTTCCAACTATTAATAAAGTAGTTAATAAAAAATTTAGAAGTATAAATAGAACATCAAAGAAACGTAAATTAGCACCAACTTTGGAACAAGAGATTGTATCTTTGGTAAATAATGAGGTTCAGGAGATTAATGGAGTTGATTCAAGAAGTAGCAGTAGTAGTAGCCCAGAATTATAGATTTTTAATATTAGTTTTTTTTCAATTTGTTTTTTTATTTTTTATATTAAATTATTTCTGCTTAGTGTTAATGCACCAGGCAGATTTTTTTATTGGTGCAATTTGCAATATTTTTTAAAATAGTTAATCTTTATTTTTCAATTGTTATTATTTTAATAACTTTAATAATTTTCATTTCACAACCTATTAAATTCAATTATAAATTATCACAATAATATATCAATCAATGTATAATATTTCAAACAAACCCAGAAACGAAAGAAATATTTTTAAACTTAGCTCAAAGAATAGACTCAACCAAATGCTTCTATCTAAAATATGATGCATTGGGAGGAAAAGGAAAAATTGGAGAAAATAATCTAGAAGCTCTTAAACGAGAAATATTTGAAGAAGGAGGAATCGAAATCGATAACTCAAAATTATTAAAAATTTGGAAATATACTTGTTCTAGCAGAGAAGAATATATTGCAACTCCATGTAATTTCAATGAAGTACTTTATAAAGTTACATTGGAATTATTCATTTATCCATTTGACCAACCTTTAATAAATCTTGAAAAAGATAAACATACTGAATAGGAGTTTTATAATGAAAAACAAGTGCAGCAAATATATGAGAAAGAAGAATTTATTCTGATAATACAAGATAATATTAAAACAATATATTGGTATATAAAAAATTATAAAAAATGTATTCAAAATACTAACAACCAATGTAAATCAAAAATTGTTAAATTATATAATTCTTTTATTAATCAATGTGAAGCTGAGGAAAATCATTTTTTAGATGGATATTATTTATATAATGATTTTCAATAAGATTTTATATATAAATTAGTTTTTTTTTTATTATTTTTTATTTTTATTTTTTTTTTACATTAAATATATTTTCTGCTTAGTGTTTATGCACCAAGCAGATTTTTTTATTAGTACAATTTTATTAGTGTAATTTGTTGTTGTGCTAAATGGATAGTGAAAAAAAAGTATGTAGTTTCATACTATTTACTTAGCATTTACATGATTCTGAAGTAATGCTGTTCTATATATATTAGAAGATCATTCTGAATAGTATTTTTTGCTTGAGGATGATTTTTATTGATGCTAGGCACGCGAGTGTAAATTGTTACCGCTACCCACAGAATGAATAAGAATCTTATATTAATTATTTTTTTAATTTAGATCTCAAATTATCGGTGAGGTTATGATTTTGAACTAGTTATTCGAAAGATTTTAAATTCTTCTGGTATTTTGGCTAATGAGATTAAAGTTACTCAGAGAGATGGTGGAATTAATATTATTGCCATATACAAACAACAAATTATATTAATACAATGCAAGAATCTCGAATCATTCATTCTTCTTTCCATGGTGAAGAATTTTGAATCATCAATTTCTCGATTTCCTGATATGTTAAGAATCATTGTTTATAATAGTAAACAAATAAAGAGTAAAAATTATATAACATCAAAAATGAAAGAATGGATTGATTCATCAAAAATAGAAATTAAAGTGTGTAATGAAACAGAAATTTGTAATATTATTAAAGACTATATTAAAACTATTGAAAATCCTGCTCCTCAATTAGAATTAGTTAATTTTTATGCAAAAACATTTGAGCTAAATGATATTAAATGTAGAAATGTTTTTATTAAAAAGATTATTATTAATTCTTCTCGATATAAACCATATTAAATAATTTTTTAACAAGTACTAGTTAAATATTTATTTATGTAATTTTATTTATTAAAATTTAAAAATAAATAAGCGAATCAATGAATATTTAGTAAATCTTGAAACTGATTTAAAAAAACTCATAAACATTATCAATAATGAAGAAACTTCTATTCAAAAAACAAAGAATGATTTAAAAAATTTTATTGACAATATTGTTAGTGGGAAAGAAACTTATAAGAAACCTTCTAAAATAATTTTAAAGTGTGAATTAACAAAACTTTTAAACAACTTTGTTAATAAAGAAAAAATTTCTTCAAAAACAAGTTTAAAGCATAAAATTTTTGAAAAGAATTTAGAAGAGTACAAAATTTTTAATTCAAAAAAACAAAAAAAGTTACCAAAAATTTCTATTTTCTGGTGCTATGGGTGTTGGAAAAACTACAATGGCAAATATTTTATCTAATCAAGTGGAACAGCAAAATTTTTCGGTTAAGAAATTTGAGGAGGCATTACTTCATCTTTTACCAGAACTTAAAATTTTTTATAGAGATGTCAAGAATCGGGCATTATTTTTCCAAAGCAAGATTCTTGATTTTTATAAAAATCAATCAAAAGTATTAAAAGAATTAACGGAATATGATTATATAATTCTCAATAGAACATATTTGGACACAGAGGTTTTCACTGAAGCAAATATCAAAGATGTTGAAATTTTAAAATATTTTGAGGATGAAAGAGCAAAAATTGAACCAATCGATAATACTGTATTTTCACAGTTTTTTACATTAAACCACCTAAAGAAGTGATATTAGAACGACAAAACAAATATCAATTAGAAGAGTGAGATTATGAAATGGTTGATGAAGAATATCTTTGTAAAGTTTACGATTTATATGAGAACAAGATTGACAAAATGTACCCCAACAAGATTGCTATTTCATCTGATTGTAGCATTGATGAATATAAAAATATTTTAAATTTTATTCTTGATAATAATAATTAATTTATTTTTTTTTTATTTTTATTAGTTTTGTATTATTTTTTTTTTCTATTTATTTTTTTCTAATCAGTTTAAAAAAACCGATTAGATTTTTTAGTATACAATAAACAATGCATATCAATTCATTTTCCAATGAAGTATTAATAATGATATTTCATCGTTTTGTCGCAAAATCTCTCTTTATTATTTTATTTGATGAAGATTTTTATCGATTAAAACTTGTATCAAAAAAATAGTATAAGTTATATTATTTTATATTCAATCTTTATAGAAAAAAATATTATCTTGTTGAAAAACATTCTTTTGATTCACCTATTAAATATCAATTTAAAATTAATTACGAAACAAATTTAACATTAAAAATTTTTGTTGATTTTTTTAAGTCTGGTAAATTTGTTGATTCTGAAAGTAAATTCAAAAAGGAAAATATGAATATATTTTTAATTTTAAAAATAGTGAAGATAATTATTTAACAGAACAAGTAATCAAAAAAATGAAATTTATTCCAATTGATTTATATAATTTTTATGATAAATATTATTGTTCGAGATGTGAAGTGTTTATATATTGTCATAAATTTAATCATTATTTTGAAGATACTTGTAAATTTAAAAATTGTTTATCTGAAGATTTAACAAGTTATTCTTTAACAGGTCATTCTCTTTTAAATTTAAAAAGACATGTGTATAATTTATATAAAAGATGCTATGGGTGCGATTAAAGTCTTTTTTTTATAAATTATTTTTATATTTTTTTATATTTTTATTTTTATCTAATTAGTTTATTAACCAATTAGAATTTGTTTTATTCAATAGATTTTTTCTATTCTGACAACGAAGATAAGTTTGTGATTGAATTTTCTTTTGAAACTTTCGATAATTTTTATTTTATAGCATCATTTCCTTGGAGAGGTGCAAAAAATTCATTACAAATTGATTCATTCATATATGAAATTCCTTTAGATAAAGAAAACAAAGCAACTATTTATCTTTATACTTCTAAACAATTTTTTGATAGATATGATATGTGTGAATTTGATAAAAAAATGAGGTTTCTTATTTTAATAGAAATCTCTTTGAAAATTTAACAAAAGCAATTAATTTTTTTGATCAAAATGAGGAAAAATCATTTAAATATTTTGAAAAAGCAATTGATTTAATCTCCTTATAAAATTAACTTTATACAACGATTTTTTTAATATTTTATTTTCATAGTTTTATACTATTCTAGTTAGCATATTTTTGTACCAACTTGCATTTTATTCATGTAATTTTTTTAAAAATAAATACAACATGCCAGGATTTAATCAACAGTGATCCAGACTCAAAACTCTTCTTCATATTTAATGCAACTGATTCATTTACCAAAAACAAGAAATACATCTTACTTATCAATTTGGTGAAAGAGGATAGAACCAAGATTTCTCTTAATTTCAAAGTTGGGGATCTATTTTTTGATATCAAGCTTGAAAAAAAGAATTTTGAATTCTATTTGAACAAAATCAATCCTTATTATTATGAAATACTAAACGATATACAACTCTTTGATTCCAGTTCAAAATTCAATTTTATTCACTTATATTTTTCAAATCTTAAAGACTATAAAGATGCTTTGGAAAAAATACAAAAGATTGATGATTGGTGGGAATTATATAACACGTATTCTGATGATCTCACCTGTTATTACCGAAAGGTGGCACGTGAAAATAATTTTGAGTTGGTTGGGTAGTATCGATTAATTTCTGATAAACTTCTATCCAATGACATGTTTCTAACATTATTAGAAATAGAAAAGATTAAAAATAAAATAAAATTACCAAAGTTGTTAAATTTATCTTGGGATATTGAAACGGGAGATCCATGTGGGTCTGGTTATTTTCCTTATAGGTATGAGAAAACTTCTTTTGTTTACATGATTCAGATGGACATTTACTGAATTGATTCTTCATATCCAATTAAAAGATATTGTTTGACAACATTACCGATCAATGAAGATTATTTTTTTCTAAATACAGTTCAATTCTGAGAAAAAATTTTCATTTCATTCGCTGTTCTACAAAAGTTGATTTATTGTTAGGATTTGCCAGAATATTTAATAGATTCAAACCTGATTTTGGGACAGGCTATAATACAGGTGGTTATGATTGGGATTTTATTTTAAAGAAAGTAAAACAACACAATATAGGAAAAGAATTTAATAAAGTTCTTTTGGATACAACTGAAGATATTAAAGTTAATATTAGAGAAACAGAAATTAGAGTTGTTCCATAAGATCTTGAGAATGCTATGAGAAAGTATGAGTTTGCAGGATTAAATCTAAACAATAGAACGATAAAGTTAATCTGAATGAAAAAATGATTTGTAGATATTATTATATATCAGGAATGATTTTTTTAGATTTGTTAGTTTGGGCGAAAAAAGCATTTCCCACAGACATCAAACACACACTCGACTATGTATTAAAAAAATGTGGATTGGAAAACAAGATCGATCTTCCGTATGTTTCCAAAAAATCATCAAATCTCAATTCCATGTTTATATTCCTGAATGCAATATTATACAAGAATAATATTGAAAAATTAAAAGATTTTGCTTTACACCTTGTCTCTTTGAATGATAAAATCAACTATGAAAAATATATGGCACATTTCGTTGTCAACGAAGGACAGCTTAAGCATTATGCTATAGATATAATATACTATTGTTCTATTAATTCGATCAGATGCCAGAAATTGATGTTGAAAAGAAATATTGTTCAAGATTATACAGAGTTAGCAAAAATTTCAAATATGACTATTTCAAATGTATTTACTAATGCGGTTGGTACTTTTGTGCGTAATTTATATAGCCGTGAAGCGGCAAAATGTTGCATCTTATTATCAACAAATCGAAAAGGAGTTGTTGAAGTAGGGGTTCTATATTCAGGAGGACTAGTGCTTAATCCAAAAGAAAATCCAAACGATCATCTGGTTCCAAATTTAGATTTTACTTCTATGTATCCAAGTTCAATAATAACAATGAATATTTTTCTTGAAACTGAATTACCACCAACATCTGATGAACCTTTCAACATAATATATCATACTGAGCAAATTTTTACAAAATTCAAGAAACATTACAATTAGAAAAAAAGATGGAATTGATGCCTCTGATGTATAAAAAACTGTTAGAAAGTCATGCTGAGGCAAAAAGATTTATGAAACTTTATAAAAATGATCTTGTGAAGTTAGCATATTATACAGCAAAATTAAATGCTTTAAAGTTAATAGCAAATTCCACTTATAGAGAAACTGGATATAAATTTTCTCCATTACCATAGGTTTCCGAAAATAAGCTACCCTTTTTTGGCCAAAAAGTTACACAAAAATCATGGGGGTAGCTTATTATTGGATGTAATTGATTTTTGATCATTTTTGGCGATTTTTATTAAGTAAAAGTAGTTACTATATATAAAAGTCAAATTCTACTAAGTAAATCTACAAAAGTTACTTAATTGGATTGTTCAGAAGGTAAAAATACACATATCCTGAAAGTTTTATACAAATTAGAGAACTTTTTACTAAGATATTTTTGCATTTTAAGATTTTAACTTATAATACAAAAACACCTTAGTAAAAAGTTTTCCAATTTGTTTAAAACTTTCAGAATATGTGTGTTTTTATCTCCTGAACAATCCCTATTAAGTAACGTTTATAGATTTACTTAGTAAAATTTTGACTTTTATATATAGCAACTATTTAAGAAAATAGAAAAATCATAGGGGTAGCTTATTTTTGGGGGAAAGACATTTTTAAGATTTTTCTTCAAGAGAGGGGGTAGCTTATTTTTGAAGGTAGCTTATTTTCGAAACTATACAGTATATCGACTGCCAGTTGCAGCAGCGGTTATAGTATTTTCACAGCTTTGTTTGAGACTTGGCATCTCATTTTTGGAATCAAAAAACTGTTCAGTAAAATATACAGACACTGATTCAAAATTTTTCACGATACCAGAAGAACTTTTTATTGAAATAAACAAATTATATTCTCATGATAAAAAGCTTCATGCTGAGATGATGATCAAGAAATCTATCGAATATGCAAAAATAATAGAAGTTGAAATAAACGAATTTCTAAAAAAAGAAATAAGCTTTTTATATATGCGTTAGGCATATGAAAAAACTCTGTATCCCTCAATATTTTTTCATAAGAAACATTACAGTATGTTGGTTGTGTTTATGAGCATAAACCAAAATTAGAAAATCCAGAATTATTAGTAAAAGGATTAAAGCTTGTAAAATGAAATGTATCTTTATTTTACAAGACTGTGTCCAAAAAATTAGTATGGAGCGGTTTAGGATTCAATGAAGAAAAACAATTGATGGATATTAAAATATCACCAAATACAATTGCTAGAAATATAATTTACAAATATATCAATCAAGCAGAAAATTTAGATTTAGAATTATTTAAATTAACTGCAAAATACGATTCTTTCTTTAGAAAAGTAACGATTCATGATTTTTATGGTTTGACAAAAAGTAACCAACCAATTGATTCCAAAAAAGGCAATTCCATGGTTCTTAATTTTGCTAAGAATTATGAAAAAAATAGTAAAAAACTTGTTCCGAGTCGTTTCGAATATTTTATTCTGAATCATCAAGAAAAGAAAAAATCAATATTTGGCAAAAGATATGTTTAGCTTCAGAATATATTCCTGTTCCTGACAAGAAAATAGATATTTTGTATTATTTCAATAGCTTGCGAGATATTTGTGCAGCTCTTTTAAATTGTGATAAAAAGAAGGCTCTCGAAACGATCAAAGAAATTTACAAGACTAATAAAAGAAAAAAACAAACTCTACTTACAAATTTCTTCGTCATATCAAATTTTTTACCGCAAAGCAGTTCATCTAAAGTAATTTCAGTATCACAAAAAGAATTAGTTTCTGTAGAAATAATATCAACATCTAACAAACGTAATAAACAACCTTTTGATTCTTGTAAAAAAAATAAAAATATCACAGATTATTTTCCAATAAAAAAGTAATTTTTTAATTTTAATTAGTATTTTTAATACCGATTAGATTTTATTTTAGTTAATTTTTCATCAAAATAAAACGAAAATCCAATGAACAAATTGAACCTATAGTTAGAAAAAAACAAAATACTGCAGAACTCAAAATTAATATTTTATTACTTCCAGTAGAGATTCTGCGAATGATTTTTATTACTTTAAAAAAAAAAAAAGAACAATATTTTTTCGGTCTTTTCTCCAAAGCAATTTTGTGGCCAATTTACAAAGGCCTGAGATTCGATCCATGTTATTATTATTTTTTACCACCATTAACCGAATTTTTTATAAAAAATAGAGAATCTCCCTTGACTTATTTATTTGACAAGATTTTAAAAACCAAAAAACATGAGTATGTAATATTTGACAAGAAATATAGTTGTTGTGAGAATTGCAAAAAACTTCGAATTGATTGTGATTATAAGGAAGTATGCACTAGCTGTAGATTAAAGAATAAACTTTGTATTAAAAAAGTTGCAAGAAAAGATTATTTAAAACACAACAACAACAAAAAAAATATTATTGTTATCGGCCAGACTTTTCTCAGTCATGTTCAATGTTTTTGAAATATATTAATACTATAAAAAATTTAGGTAAAAGGTGATGTGATAAATGCCGTAGTATGGAGTTTTTTACCAAATTATATTCTATTAGTGATCATTTTTGTGATATTTCAACATGTCTTGTTATTGCATCAACACCTTTAACAACAAATAATTTTCATATTTTTCAACATTTACACATGTTATGTTATAATTGTTATGAATCATCAGCAAAGAGAATTTTAATATATTAATTTTATTTATTAATTTGAATAAATATGTTCAACAACATATCCAATTTTATCTTTATTTTTATTTTTTACTATCTCAATTACTGCTAAAAAAAACATTTTTTTATTTATTTCAATTATTTCAATTTTCATTTTATATTTGAAATTTTCGTTTTCAAATATATAATTATTAAATTTTTTCGTGATATATTCAATGAGTTTTTTCAGATCAAACAGATATTCAAAGATCTTTTTGTAAAATAAAGTTGATTTCTCAAATTTGTTGAAAAATTTAATGATTTTTGCATATTCATTGATACTGCTAATCAGGTTGTTATCGAATTTTTGATAATTTACAAATTTTACATTCATTTTTAATATTGTTTTTATTCATAGACAGATAATTTTTCTTTATTTTTATATCGATTATTCAGTGATATTTACCGAATAATTACATTTTTATTTAACATAATGTCTCAAGTTAAATCTAAAAGGTTAAACAAAAACTTTTGTAAAGCCGCACTTTCTGTTGCTTTTAAAGAAAATGAAAAATTGACATGGTATCAAGAAAATGAGAATACAACCTTTCAAAGATCAATAATGTATCCGAACAAAGATGGTCATATCACTGAATATATTCAAATCAAGGTTTCTTCCGATATCAATGTTTTACTCGACAAAAAACATAGATCCATTATCAAGAATTTTAATTTCTATTTTCTAAAAATAATATTCTTTATGGTGATTCCAAATATTTGTTGGAATTATTATATCCAGAAATTGATATCAACTCTGTTTTTTACAAAAACAATTGTCAATTTGATTTACGTGAATACAACATTTCAAATTAAGTCTTATTTAACATAAAGAGCTTAGACTATTTTTAGCATTATTAAAATATTTTTTTCATTTTTTATCTATTTTTTATTGTTTATTCAGTGAATTTCACTGAATAATTTTTATTTTATTTGAGTGGCTTAGCTTTATTTTATTATATAAACCCTTCTTCTCTTCCTTTCTCTCTTTACAATTCCTTTTTAATTTTAACCAATTAGGTGAGAGAAGCGATCTCCTGCTTGTATTATATTTGAAATTTTCTTAATTTTGTTCATTTTACTAACTCTCATTTGTTACCCACATATATGGCTGATATCCTTCTATCCTAATTGTAATAATCTGGTTTGCCATGACACTACTTTTAGTTATTTATAATAATGCCTAAAACTTCTAATAAATATTATTACATTGTTCTAATTTGTCATATTCCAGGTGTTTATAACACTTTGAAAAAATATAAAGAACAAGTGAACAGTTTTTCATTTGTATACTATAAGAAATGTTTAATATTAAGTCAAGCATATCAAATTTTTAATACTTTTCAGTCAAAAAGAATAAAATTTTAAGTTTAGATGAAAAAATAGTTATTTATACTGATAGTTCATGTAAAAATAATGAAAAAGGTTGTTATGCAGGAATTGGTATTTATTATGAAGATAGAAGCAGACAAATAACTGAACCATTACCAGGTTCCTTGCAAGATAAAAATTTATGTGGTGCTTCGTGCAATTGAAACATATGAAAATTAAGACAAAATCATTGAAATCAGAACAGATAGCAAAAATGTGGTTAACGCACGTGAATTTTGGATTAATAACTGGAAAAAAAATAATTGAAAAACATCACGTAATGAGGTTGTAAAAAATAAGGATCTATTTGAGAAATTGGATTTTTTAATGTTTAAAAGAATTGGTAAAGTCTATTTTACACATATATTTGGTCATAAAGGTGTGATTGAAAATGAAATTTTTGATAAATTATCAAAAAGAGATGCAACAATCAACATGGTTAAAAGAAAAAAATTATCTCCTTATAATAGTTTTATGAAATTTAATCTTCCTATTATTAAAAAAAACAATCCAGAATTAGATCATAATTTAGCATTCAAATTGGTAGCTTCAATGTGGAAAGATTCGATCAACAACCCTAAAAATGATTTTTCTAAATATTTGTAAATTTCTTTATTATTTTTAATTTATTTATTTTAATAAAGTATTTATTAATTATCTGATTTTTTTTTATTATTTAAAATATTTTTTATTTAATTTCTTCATCCAACTTTGTGAGATATGTTGTGAAATGAGATAAGTATTAATTTTTTGTGATTTATTATGAAAAATTCATGCTATCAAGGCGTCACAACATATCTTAGCTAAGTTGCTGCTGAAAAAAATTTGACACTTTCTAAAAGTGTTCCAGGCGGCAGCCAGATTATTACAATTAGGATAGAAGGATATCAGCCATATATGTGGGTGATGTTGTTGATCGCACAAGCCAAAAGCCTAAAGCACGATCAATATTAGTATTTTTTTTATTTACATAAAGATGAAACAAAAATTTAATCAAATCGAATTTTCTGTTAACAACAATCAGAAGAAATTCATCCAATCATATTAGTTTTCAATTATATTGATGATCTATATAATTTTCATAATGTGTTTATGGTTTGCAAAGAATGGCAGCAATTATTAGATCATCATATTTTTTGGAAAGAACTTATTGAACATCTTGGATTTGAAGGACCAAGTGAACAAGCTATAAAATATAAAATACATAAATTAGTTTTTGTTAAAAATATAAAAAAGTTGTGTGATTGTAAGCAAAATTTTGGTCAAAAGGACCAAAATATTAAACGAATTTGTTTTCAATTAAATATATTAATGGATTATTGTAATTATAAGTTTAGTGAGGTGTGGCGGCTTAGTGAAGTGGTCAAGTTGTCACCCTCTCCAAGTAGCAGGTCTAGGGTTCAAATCCCACGGACGACGAAAGTTT